AAACAAGTTGTTGAGAGTGGCAGGGCAACTTTTAAGGCGCAGAGGGCTGGTGTTAGCCTCAGTGAGCTCTGCCTTGGCTTCTGTAGTATGAATGTTACCGTTGCTTGGTCCTGTTTCCGTCATGAGTGGTAACTCGGCGGGAAGGAAACACCATTATTTGAACCCACTTATGTTTCCCTGTATAGTGGGTGTTGTACCATTTGCATGCTCAACTGGTGTATGGTGGTGGTGTTTTGTTGTAGTACTAGCTAATGATGATATGGGAATATATATATATATGTTTTAGTGTTGTTGCTTGTATGGATCAGAAAGTAATATTTGGCCACTTCGCTAACTCGAGTTTATAGTTATGTATGTGTAATTGTTTCGACTAACTCATTTTGGCTCAAGACGTAAGTGAGATATAATTGCTTTTTTTTTACACAGAGATCCCTTTTGGAGCCCGGCCTCCAATGAGTCCTCCAAACTCGAAATTCATATTTCATAAAAAATTATATTTTTATGTTCAAAAAATTCTGAAAAAAAACAAAGAGGCTCTGATATCAACTTGTCACGCCCAATATGTGATACTATCCTAAAGAGACTCGAAGGTCACACCAAGGATAGAACCACATATTGAAACGCTTTTGCATGGTGGATATCATTACATCAACATTACATAATAGATGAAGATACATACAAGAGGCATACAATGCCACACGAATACAACATCACAATACATAAGAGCATCATCCGACTACGGATGAAACACAAACAGAAACTCAAACGACATCCACCCTGCTAGCTCAGGCTGCCGATCTAGAACCTATCCCCTGATCAAAGCAGAAGCAGAAGAACTCCAAAACAAGTAACATCGCTCTCGCGTCATGATCATCGCATAACCTGTACCTGCAACTGTTGTTGTAGTAATCTGTGAGCCACGAGGACTCAGCAATCCCATTATCATGGGTATCAAGACTAGCAAAGCTTAAAGGGAAAGGAAGGGGTAAAGTGGTGAGGTTGCAGCAGCGACTAAGCATATATGATGACTAACATACGCAAATAAGAGCGAAAAGAGAGCAAACGGAACGGTCGTGAAGCTAACAATGATCAAGAAGTGATCTTGAACTCCTACTTACGTCAAACATAACCCAAAAACCGTGTTCACTTTCCGGACTCCGCCGAAAAGAGACCATCACGGCTACACACACGGTTGATGCGTTTTGAATCGGATCTGGTGTCAAGTTATCTACAACCGGACATTAACAAATTCTCATCTGCCACATAACCGCGGGCACGGCTTTCGAAAGTTTATACCCTGCAGGGGTGTCCCAACTTAGCCCATGATAAGCTCTCGTGATCAACGAAGGATATTCCTTCACCCAGGAAGACCCGATCAGACTCGGAATCCCGGTTACAAGACATTTCGACAATGGTAAAACAAGACCAGCAAAGCCGCCCGATGCGCCGACAATCCCGATAGGAGCTGCACATATCTCGTTCTCAGGGCAACACCGAATAAGTCAAGCTACGAGTAAAACCAGACTTCGAGTTTCCCCGAGGTGGCCCCGCAGGCTGCTCGGTTCGGACCAACACTTAGAGAAGCACTGGCCCTTGGGTTAATTACTCCCAAGGGAAATGTAGGTGGTGGTGAGGCAAATGGTAAAACCAAGGTTGGGCCTTGTTGGAGGAGTTTTATTCAAAGCTAACTGTCAAAGGGGTCCCATAAATCACCCAACCGCGTTAGGGACGCAAAATCCGGGAACATAATACCGATATGACGGAAACTAGGGCGGCAAGAGTGGAACAAAAAATCAGGCATAAGGCCGAGTCTTCCACCGTTTACCAAGTATATAGATGCATTAATTAAATAAGAGATATTGTGATATCCCAACATAATCTTGTTCACCATAGAGCAATCTTCAACTTCACCTGTAACTAACAACGCTATAAGAGGGGCTGAGCAAAGCGGTAACATAGCCAGGTAATGGTTTGCTAGGAAAGGGTGAAAAGGTTAGAGGCTGACATGGAAATTTGGGAGGCTTGAAGAACATGTGATAGGTAGCGCAACATAGCGATAGAACGAAACAACTAGCATAGCAATGATAGTAGTGAGATTCAGGGTAGCGGTCATCTTGCCTGAAATACCTCTAGGAAGAAGAACGAGTCCATGAATAAGATGAAGCCACGAAGACGAACCAAGCGTAGACGAACGAATCCTCATGATCGCAACGAAACGGGAACTATCGAGAGAAGCACACAACATAGTAAACACACCACACATAAACATGACATGATGCACAACCAAGCATGATGCATGACAAAGTCTAGATGAGGCTACTCATGGCAAGAAGTGATTCAAACAAGAACAACACATCAAAACAAGTTTAAATGAGGCCGAAAACAACATATAACAATTCCGGTAAGTCCTCATATGCAAATTTCGAAATTGGTCCAGATCTGAATAAACCTTATGTTCAAGTTGTTAAACAGCAAGTTAAGATGCACCAAGATGATCTACACGAAATTCTAGTCAAGTTACATATAAAGTTCATTTAATTCGGAGCTACGACCTAGAAGATATGAGCAAAACAAGTTAAACATGGCATTGATGCAAAATGCATATAACCATCAAGCAAACACCTCAAAACAAGGATGCAACATGATAATATGAAGCTACATGCAAAATCAAGCAAGTTTCATATAGAGCACACTCGAAACGGAGCAACGGTTCAACACACACACACTATACAAGTTTAAAGGACAAGCTGTCCAAAACAGCAATTAGGCATGTTGCATGCACCAAAACAACATGCTATATCATCTCAACATAAGAATAAAAGGCATGGACATGATGTACAGGTAAAGCATAACAAAACATGAACACTGAGCTATCTCCATAAATCACTATAACATGCTCAAAAACACATGGCAAGATTGCAAATAATAACAGTTTCAGACTTAGCAGAAATAACATCAGGTTGCAATGTTTAGAGCTATCAAACAACATGCTACAGGAACATATGGCATCCATGCAAACATGGCAAATGATATGACAGATGCATACATGACAGGAACAACAATAAGTAGGCATGTTGGTGAGTTTGAACCACTCACCACAGAGCAATATATGGCATGAAAAGGTAACCAACAGCAAGATGACATGTTTACAAAGCTAAGCATGGAAAGAGCAAGTTCATAGGATGCATGGATCACTAGCAAAGCTCATGGTAAAACTGAACTTAATGTTAACAGGATGACAGCAACATTATTTAGCAATTTGAGAGCAAGATTACAACAAGCTACAGCAGGCTATAAATGCAACCAGGGACATGGACGAATAGAACATGACATGTATAACAAAACATCCTTAGTGAAAATCTCCAGATTATGCATGGAATGACTTGTAGCAGCAGGTTTACATAGCATCACGAAATAACAGATTCAGCCTAGCAAATCAGTAACAGCAAGTACCCTACTTAATAAGCTTGATGCACTCACTACACAACTCACAAAAATACATGGATTGCACCTCTGTAAAGATGACATGATGTAGTTCAAAACTCATGTAGACATCAAGCTCATAAGATGCACACATCAAATGCAACAAAAATGACAAATCACCAAGTTATAACAGTTTCAGCAGATTAACATCATATAGTACTCTTGCAACGATGATTCAGACATCAAGATGAACTCAAACAAACATGGCACAATGGAATAAAATGAAGAGCATCTCATGATGAACATTTTGACATATTACACGCACAAAACGAAGCAGTATCTAGAGAGATATGGCGTGATGAACAGGGCATGAAAATACTGCAGGGAATCGGGACTTAGCAGAATTATACCCTCGCGAGAAGTCAACCCGGGACGAGGAGATCCCGGGACGGAGCGGATCCAGGCACGCGGGAGCGTTTGGTTGGCGGGCCTGGTGGATCTGGTCCCGGTTGGCACGGACTTCGAGGTTCGCCTGGGAGCTCGCCAGAGTTGGCCGAGGAGAGGTCCGGCGAGGCGAGGACGGGGCGCTCCGGGCGGATCTCGCCGAATCCGGCCCGGGGCGAGGCGTGACGGCGACGGGAAGGCGACACGGTAATGTGGACTTCGGTTGAAGGCATAACACACATGTGTGTAAATTTTCAGGGCAAAATACGGCTGTGCGAGAAAAACAAATCTGGGGCTCTTTTAGCACATGATACTATTCATCCTCCCATGCCATGAGTTTATCTTTTTTTACAGGTCGCAACTCAAGGTATTTCATCATGATTTTTTACACACATGTGGGTACATCCTTACATACATGCATAATTTTTTTCAGAATTTTTTTAACCATAAAAGTTTGAATTTGAATTTTTCAAAAATAAAGGCCTCCATGGAGCTCGGCCTCCAAAACACCTCTCTCTTTTTTACATGAGTATATAATTGCCTCTTGAAATAGAAAATATCTATACAGTCCTTTCAGATGTGTGTATACTAGATGACACCCTGTTCATTGCTGCCGGAGTTGCCCAGCATATATTTCAGTGAGATTCGGTTATTTGACTGAATATTTCGATTAACAATATGAGAACTAAACCTGAAAATACATGTAACTATAAAATATTTATTGAATACTTAATATAATTAAAACATTTGACTGTGTATGTAGAGATAAATATGCTAGCAGGAATCAACTACGAGTCTTGACTCTTGAGGGACATGGTACAAGATAAATTTACCAATAAAATCACTAGCTGAGGGGTACACATTTGCAAAGATAGCACAAACAAGTTGGTACATTTGAAACGATATAATATGTTTTTGGGTTAAGGAACTACACTGAAAGTAAAGGCAAACCACAGACAGCGGAACATTTGCATCTAACCAAAAGAACACGACACATCACGATGATAAACCAGGTCCAACTAGCTGAGATAGCGCAAACAAGTTGTACAGCTCATTCCATGCTGTTTCTAAGAGGATTCTTGTAAGATTGAAAACAGTGCAACGTTGCACTTGCAGAGACAAAAGACCAGACTTTAGCCTTGCACAATTATATTGCATTCATCATCATCATTGGCTGGAAAGTGCCAAAGCCATGTCTCGAAACTAAAGCCTGTACATATACCAGACAAGGTAGGATCAGTTGAGTGTGATATCATCTCGAGAAAACATTGTGCAAAAAATTGACGAGTGTATAGTTACAGAATGCATAATATCTGTAGCTTATCTAATTATTCCAATGTTGTGGACATGTGATTGAGACAAAACTTTGGCTGATCACATAACGACTACTTCCCTAGCAATTACATCTACCATTTTCACCCCATCACAGTAAGAATGTCTAAACTGACCGGCCACAAGTACAAAAATATGTGCTGCTAGTTAACTTACATGTGGATAGTTGCGAAACCAGTTTGATGCTAATCTGCATGGCACTGCCAAAACGACTCAACAACTTTAAAATCCTGCAAACCCTCCCATTAACATCTCTGCATCTGATTTCCACAATATTAAGATGTTTGGATATTGCAGGTAATTTTTCCATTGGATAGCTCAGCACAGTAATAAACTCCCGTCTCTGTAGTGAACAAAAAAGAATCATCAAGATCTGAGCAATGATGCATAACAGAAATGTGAATCAAGATCTACCGACAATGGATAAAAAAAGTGTCCATTAAGATTGATGAATACACGTACATACGTATATTCAACAGAAGCAGTCGATTATGCACGGTAACTTGAATAACATATCTCTTATAGATTCAGAAGCATATACCTTAGATAGTCGAAGAATGAGCTTCTCAAGAACGGGTGAATGCTCGAGAATGCAAAGTAATGCACGGAAGTCAATAGCCACACACCACTCATTCAGCAACAATGTCTTCAAGTTACTAAATGTAGGACACCACCTCAAATCCCTTCCAAATATAAGCTGGTGAAAGTATGAACAATTAATATTCTAGGCATAAAGGGGCAATTCACTGGAAAGTGAGTGCATAGCAGGTTTGGATAGGCATTTAAAAAAAGCCACACCATGAGAATGTAATGCAGGATATCCATATAAAGCACATGCTATATTCAGCAAGTTTCTGTACATTTACAGACAAATAATTCACATATTGACCATGTATGGCTAAAGTTCTATATAAATATCCACTTAGCACTTGTAATCCGAGGCCAACTAATTCACAAGTGCAAATTGAAAAAAAGAACATAATTTAGAAGCCTATCTTCTGGCAATCCATGTAAATATGAGTGTTAAGTCGTTGGTATCTAAAGACGGATATAGAATCTTCAAAAGAACCTAGGGGTTGAAAGATAATAACACTTTTAAACTGAGAGTAAAGATGGGAGTTCCAAGAATACCATTCCAGGTTCAGCTACCAGTTCCAAATGTATAGCACTGGCCAGACCTCCGAGAAGCACGCAGCGGCTGCCATGGTCACCATCACCAGTACATTCTGCACAAATGCCACAGCATTCCTTAAAAGCACCTCTTATGCAGCAATCTCTCGAGTATGCTGCAGGCTTCACAAATGCTGTTTCCAGTGAAGGCATGCTTCCAAGAAAAGGAACTATACAAGAATCAAGGAGCAGCCAAAGGAGACTAGGGATTGATATACTAGGCCGACAATCACAGAAGAAGTAGCAGCTGTCGATGTTGAGACGCTTCACCGACTGGGACGAGATCTTGTCAAGATATAATCTGCAATCTGCCATCTTAAGATCCTCCAATGCTGGGCAGCTCGCGAAATCAAGAACATCTCCTTCTAAAATCATTTCAGTGAGCTCCAGTTTTCTCAGGTGTCGGGAGACCAGAGGAGGGTTTTCCAGTGTGGCGAAGGAGACATCGAGCACCTGAGCTTGGCCCGACAAAATTCGTCGGATCCAGACTTCGGCGTGCGCGCAATCTTCGACCAATCCATCGAAGTCCAGCTTGGCCTCCTCCAGAATCGAGTCATGGCCGCCGGGGGATAGCAGAGCGTCGAAGAAATTCTTCAGATGTTCGGGGCTGCCCCTGTCCCACCAGTCCTCGGGGCTGAGGTGCAGGCGACGGATGGATCTCCACGCGTGGCGCCAGCGACCGGCGAGCACGCTCGTCTGGACGGCGTCATGCGCCGGCAGGAAGCCAAGGACGTGCTGGAGAACGCCGTCCGGCAGAGCGCTGATCCGGTCTTCGCCGCCGGGCATGGATGGGCCTTGCACTGGTTAGACAACCCGTCGAACAGGTGGTTCTTGGATGCTGCTGTGACAAGAGAACAATGACGAAACGAAACAAAGAAGCGGAGAAAAAAAGGCACGGGTAGAAGACGAGCTTGCCTAACCGAGCTTAGCCTCACTCGCCGCTGCGCGGGGCCATGGCGGCGGCACAAATGCAGCGAATCGTCCAACCCCAACGGAGAAGACAGCTCTCTGTTTCAGCTCAAGATGGAGTGGTGGAGCGCAGTTAAAGCTCACTCGGTGTTGTTGGGTGTCTTGATTGCTGAACCTCACCGGCTCACTGTGCACCACAGCTCTTCTGGCCATGGCGGGCCAGTGCGTGATGGGACTATACGGTGCAGTGACTTTGCCTTTCACACTGTAACGCTCGCGCGATCGCGTCCTTGCTTCTGCAGGTCGTAGACCTTCTTTTTTAAACTAGCGCCGCGCCGGTGACAAATCCCTTCCGAATTTTGTGCAAGCCCTTGCAGCAAAACCAAACGCACCGAATCAAAACGGACGCGCGCGCTCTTTGTCCGGTTTTCGTCTGTTTGGATCGGTCAGACGAACATGCGTGTTTGGTTTTTCATTTGGATCGGCAGGTGCGTCCAACTGGAGGCCGATCCATTTATGCTGACGTGACTAAAACTGACTAATTAAGCGCAATTATACATAAATGACTAGTCAAACACCGGCCAAAGTTCATTTAAACATAATTAGAAAATTAAAAAACTCTAATAAACCCCTGCACGCTGCCCTAATAGACCGCCTTGCCCTTCCCTTGCCGTCGTAGTCGTCGCCGCCGGTGAGGTCAAGGAAGACGAGGGAGGCCCAGCCCAACCGAACGCGGCTTGATAGGCCGCCGGGGCAGCCTCCTCCGGTATTTGTTCGGCGACGGTGTAGCGGCGAGGCGGGCGGCCTCCCGTTGGGCGCATAGATGCCAGCTGTGCGGCAAATTGACATCTGGATACGGCACAGGCTGGCGGTACTGCCAATGCCATCGCGCTTGGTGGACTGGGATGTACAGCCGCCCCCGCTCCCGCTATGGCGTGCTGCGTCTAGCTGGCGGCGACGTAGCAGGCTGCCCACGGGAAGAGCTCGCTCCGGCGCTGAACTTCCACTTCTTCCCTCCCTTCCCATTGAACAATCCCATGGCTGGTTGGATGCTTGCTGGCTGGCTGGCTAGGGCTTCCTGGTCGCCGGCGAGGGAGCAAAGACGGGCAGATATGGATGGGGGTTGTGAATGAGGCCGGCCCCGTCGCACGCGTCCATTAAAAAGTACGGGCACGCGACCCTTCTACACACTGCCAGGCGGGCTCGGTGCCGGTGGTCATCATAAATATGACCGCGGGTGGTAGTTGGGCGGCCGACATGCGGGGCCGCGGCAGACACCGAGGGGATGCCCGCAATTTTGGGCCGGAAATAGGTCCGCGCGGGCGAAGCAGACGGTTTTTGGGAATGGGTCGGCGCGTTGGGCCAACGTTTTTGTCCGCGGCGATCCAAACAGACATGGGTGGACGAAATGGGTCGCCCGGTTAGAGTTGCTCTTAGAGCAAGTCCAAGCGGTAGACACAAACGGATGCGCGCTTTGTCTGTTTGGATCGGCCAGACGGACGTGCGCATTCGCTGTTCGATTTCGGTTGGCAGGTGTGCCCAACGGTAGGTATATCCATTTTTGGCCCGCACGACCGAAATAAATTTAGAAAATTCAATTAAACATAAGTGGCCGGTCAACGCTAGTGAAAGTCCTCTTAAACAGTAATTAAACATAAAAAACCGCCCGCACACTGCCCTAGTCGTCCGCCTTGCCCTTGCCCTTGCCATCGTCGCCGCCACCGGTGAGGTCGATGAAGATGGGAGGCGGCCTAGCCCAGCCAAACACGGCTTGATAGGCCGCCAGGGCTGCCTCCTCCGACGTCTGCTGCGGCGCCGACATTGCGGTGATGCGGGCGTGCTCCTCCTCCTCGCGCGTCAGCGCGCTCCTCCGCTAGCGCGCGCTACCTTCAATGCTCGAGGTACGTGGCCTCCTGCGCCAGTGTCGCGCCGAACCAAACGGGAGAGGGTGGCGCTGACCCACTCCCACAGCTGGCCGGTCCAAACGTACCTATCGGCCGACTCGGGCTTAGGCGCAGGGGGTGAGCGGCGGCGGCGACAACGACACCACGGAGTCGTTGGCCACAAAGAGGGTGATGGCCTCCGCCAGCCTCGCCTAGTAGTCCGCCTCCTCGCTTCTGCCTTTCAGCCGCTCCTCCTTGATGGAGGTCTCCAGGGCCACGCGCCAATGACGCCCCGTAGGCAGCCTCCTCCTCCTCCTGCTCCTCCGGCTTGATGAGTGGGGGAGGGGGTTGGCGTGGTGGTGATGCACGCCGAGCCGCCGTTGCTCCTCATGCTCGAGGGAAAACCAGACCTCCCAATGGGGAGAGTCTGCAGCATACTCCGGCATCCGTCGCTGCTCCAGCGTGAGCTGCGACCGGCGCCTGCGCACCTTCTCGGTGTGCGCCCGCTGTGACCGTGGCATCAGGATTCGTTGCGGATCGAGATGCTAGTGAAGGAAATATGCCCTAGAGGCAATAATAAAGTTGTTATTTTATTTTTCCTTATTTCATGATAAATGTTTATTATTCATGCTATAATTATATTAACCAAAAACTTGATACATGTGCGGGTACATAGACAACATACCGTGTCCCTAGTAAGCCTCTACTAGACTAGCTCGTTGATCAAAGATGGTTAAGTTTCCTAACCATAGACATGTGTTGTCATTTGATAAATGGGATCACATCATTAGGAGAATGATGTGATGGACAAGACCCATTCGTTATCTTAGCATTATGATCGTTCGGTTTTATTGCTATTGCTTTCTTCATGTCAAATACATATTCCTTTGACTATGAGATTATGCAACTCCCGGATACCAGAGGAATGCCTTATGTGCTATCAAACGTCACAATGTAACTGGGTGATTATAAAGATGATCTACATGTATCTCCGAAGGTATTTGTTGGGTTGGCATAGATCGAGATTAGGATTTGTGACTCCGAGTATCGGAGAGGTATCTCTGGGCCCTCTCGATAATACACATCATAAGAGCCTTGCAAGCAAAGTGATTAATGAGTTAGTTGCAAGATGATGTATTACGGAACAAGTAAAGAGACTTGGCAGTAACGAGATTGAACTAGCTATGAAGATACCGAGGATCGAATTTCGGGCAAGTAACATACCGATGACAAAGGGAATAACATATTTTGTCATAACGGATCGACCGATAAAGATCTTCATAGAATATGTGGGAGCCAATATGAGCATCCAGGTTCCGCTATTGGTTATTGACCGGGGAGGTGTCTCGGTCATGTCTACATAGTTCTCGAACCCGTAAGGTCCGCACGCTTAACATTCGATGGCGATATTGTATTATATGAGTTATGTGATTTGGTGACCGAATGTTGTTCGTTGTCTCAGATGAGATCACGAACATGACGAGGAGTCTCGAAATGATCGGTAGATAAAGATTGATATATAGGACGATAGTATTCGTACATCGGAAGTGTTCCGGAGGGTACCGAGTACATATCGGAGTACCAGAGGGTTACCGGAAACCCCGGATGGAAGATATGGGCCATATGGGCCATGAAAGGGGAGCACACCAGCCCACAAGGGGTGGCGCCCCCCTATGGAAGGAGGTTGAGTGGGAGAAGGAAAAGAGGGGGTTTGCCCCCCCTTCCTTCTCTCTTCCCCTTCCCTTTTCTTCTCCGGTAAAATAAGGCAGGGGGCGCTACTTGGGGAAACCCCAAGTAGGATTCGAATCCTACTTGGGGCGCCCCTTGGCTGCCTCTCCCCCCTCCCACCTATATATATGTGGGGAAGGGGGCGCCTAGAACACACAACATCAATTGTTAGCCGTGTACGACGCCCCCTCCAGAGTTTACACCCCCGGTCATATTCTCGCGGTGCTTTGGCGAAGCCCTGCGTGGATCACATCACCAGCATTGTCACCATGCCGCCGTGCTGATGGAACTCATCTACTTCCTCGACATCTTGCTGGATCAAGAGGACGAGGGACGTCATCGAGCTAAATGTGTGCAGAACTTGGAGGTGTCGTACGTTCGGTACTTGATCGGTGGGAGCTAGAAGAAGTTCGACTACATCAACTGCGTTGTCAAATGCTTCCTCTTATGGTCTATGAGGGTACATAGACACACTCTCCCCCTCCCGTTGCTATGCATCTCCTAGATAGATCTTGCGTGAGCGTAGGAATTTTTTTGAAATTGCATGCTACGTTCCCCAACAGCTAGTGGTGCGACAGCATGACATCGGGGTACGACAGAGGCTGCCTGAACACTCAGTTCCACATCGCTTGGTGCACTGAGATGTGCAGTCACCGCCTCGCGGGGCGAGCAAGTGCCGGTGGCGGCTGATGACCCACAAGTATAGGGTATCAATCATAGTCCTTTTGTTAAGTAAGAGTGTCGAACCCAACGAGGAGCAGAAGGAAATGACAAGCGGTTTTCAGCAAGGTAATGTCTGCAAGCACTGAAATTATAAGTAATGAGTAGTTTGATAGAAAGATAATTTGTAACGAGCAAGTAACAGTAATGGTAACAAAAATGCAGCAAGGTAGTTTAGTCTTTTGAGGCCAAGGACAAGCCAAACAGTCTCTTATGATAAGCAAAGTGTTCGGCACACGGAAATTTCATCTAGTCACTTTCATCATGTTGGTTTGATTTGTGTTCGCTACTTTGATAATTTGATATGTGGGTGGACCGGTACTTAGGTGTTGTTCTTACTTGAACAAACCTCCTACTTATGATTAATCCCCTCGCAAGCATCCGCAACTACGAGAAAAGTATTATGGATAAATTCTAACCATAGCATTAAACTTTTGGATCCAAATCAGTCCCTTACGGAATAGCGCATAAACTAGGGTTTAAGCTTCTGTCACTCTCGCAACCCATCATCTAATAACTAATCCACAATGCATTCCCTTAGGCCCA